CTATCTATCTATCTATCTATCTATCTATCTATCTATCTATCTATCTATCTATCTATCTATCTATCTATCTATCTATCTATCTATCCATGTGTACCATATACATATTGAAACAGAATCAACAATGTACAAAAATAATTAGAAAAAAGAAGTATCTCTCAAAAACAATTAATTTTGTTGTCATAGCTGAGTATCCAACCATTAAATAAATAATGTCTTATTGAAATTATTCAGTGACATATTCAAACATTAGCTATAAGGTTGACAGAACAATCAAAGTTGATTTTTTCCCCCTTAACTTTTTTTGTCCAGGTTAAGGCCTACAACCCAGTGGGTCAACGACCCTAATTTGGGTCTCAACCCACAGGTTGTGGATCACCGGTTCAGCTACCTTTATTCAGTCAACATCCACATTTTTTTAAATTCACCGTATGATTTGTTTCATATTGGACTTTTTAAAAAATGCTGTTACTTTATAATTTGAATAAACATTTTTGATGAAATTTTAAACAGTCATGTCGAGATTTGGTGTTTTTACAAGTTTGTTTCCTCTCTTTGCCACCAGATGTCCTCAGTTTATCTTGTTTAAAATCCACCTGCTCTTGGTTTATGTACTGTGTTTCCTTTTCAACCCATTTGGAGACAGATTCAGAGGTTAAAAGGACTTGAATATGTAATTTTCTTTTTAACTTGACAACAAATGTTTGTGACAGCAGTAATGGAGAGGCTGATGTTTGGAACTAGTTAGATTTGTGTTGATGATTAGCAAGAAATTTTAATCATATGCAGTCATGATCTGTGTCTGCAAATTATAGTTTGATGAAAACAGTTTTATTGGGATTAAAACAAAATAAAGTAACATTTGTGAAAGGTTTAACAAATGCTTRGTTTCCTTTAGTTTTTCCTTTTTCATTGCTCCATTCAGGCTTGTTGAGGATTTGTCGCTGGAGCTGATTTCTTGTGACAGAAATCTGTAAAAGAAAAAAAAAGTCAGACAAGTAAAGTTTACTGATTATATTTTCAGTCACCGTTATCATGATTTAAAGTCACCGACCTGCTTTTCCGTTGTAGATATACGGTTGGTTGTGAGGGAATCCCAGACACTCGGCCACTTTCTTGTGATCATCGTGGTGGGTTTTATGCTGCTCCACATCTGGATGTGACCCCTCCTTTTCTGATGCACAAAACAAGATCATACATGTTACAGAACTGAGTTAAAGTTGAGTCACAAAAGCTGAACTATATTTATTTATTTACTTTATTTAATCAGGAAAGTCCCATTGAGATTAAAAACCTCTTTTTCAAAGGAGTCCTGGCCAAGAGGCAGCAAAATGTATACATTTACACAGAGTTACACAATTAAAACACAATACACTATTAAAAACGTTTGGAATTAAAGGAAGTAATTTCTAATGCCCTCAATCTGGACTTAAAGGCGCTCAATGGGATCAGTTCAGTTAACTTTCAGACTTTTCGCAACATGTTCCATGTAGATGGGACAGAGTAAACAAAGGCCCTTTTCCCCAATTCTGTATGGAGAAATGGACAGAGAGCAAAAAATAATCATTTGAACGCAAGGAGTGTGAATCAACGCTTTTTTGTGTGATTAGATCACAGATGGTAGCATCCCAAGTAAAGCCTTATAAATAAAAGTGTACCAATGTCCCAACCTCCTGGTGAACAACGAAGGCCATCCCACACGAGTGTACAGATCACAATGATGAGTCGAGGCTTTACAGTTAGTAACAAACCTCAAATATTGAGCTGAGGCGTTCATATATAACAAGCCTCCATAATCTAAAAGGGATAAAAATGTTGCTGTGACAAGCCGCTTTTTAATCATAAAAGAAAATTTTATTTTATTTCGAAAAAAGAAGCCCAGTTTAAGTTTAAGTTTCTTCACAAGATTTTGGATGTGGGGCTTAAAACTGAGGGAGTCATCAATCAAGAACCCAAGATATTTTTATGTTTGAACCATCTCTATGATATTTCCTTCAAAAGTGGACACAGTGGGGATCGTCAGAGGCACCTTTTTGTTGTTTGCAAATAGCATTAGTTTAGTCTGATCAGCATTGAGTACCAACTTTAGCTGCAGGAGTGTGTGCTGGACAACATCAAACGCCCTCTGCAGAGATTCTACAGCMTTAGCAACAGTCGATACAAAACTGTAAAAAATTGTGTKATCGGYWTAAAAATGCATATTAGCATCTGACACATTTTGTCCTAATTCATTAATGTACATAATGAACAGGAGGGGACCGAAGATTGAACCCTGTGGCATCCCACTGTGTACACTCATAAAATCAGAACACAAACCATCATATTTAATACACTGAGTCCTGTTACTTAAATAATTTATATGTAATTGTAATTTATAATAATAATAATAGTTATTATAATTTTATATGTAACAGTGCGAGTGTTTTACTGTAGAAGAGCAGGTATTTGTGCGTCTGGGTCTTGTAGGTCATCAGCAGACAGTCGGAGCAGGTCTTATAAAAGTCCACGACTCCTGTGTCGTTGTACACAACAGGTGCTCCGTCCTTCTCTACTCCTAAAACARAAAGAAACATCACTTTAACTGAGACCAGTAACAATCCCTGGTCGATAAAACCCTCCAGTCAGCTTTTTTTGGATTCTGCTGATGCACGTGAACTGTGGGGTAGACGTTCAGACTTACTGATTGAAACAGATCTAAGAGTGTTTTGATCGGCATCACCAGAGACCTTTGTCATGTTGACAAAGTAGGTGGTACAAGAGTGAAGGCTTCCACTGAAAACGAGACAGAAAAACATCATTTTGATGAACTTCAGACTCAAACATGTTTGGTCTCAGTGACCTCCGTGTGTGCTGCAGCTCCCGCTTGTCTCTGTTTGAGTCGAAGTTCAAACGGGACGACTCACATGTACACGTTCCTCTCAGTTAACTGGACAGCGTGGTCGTTGGGGAGGCCTTTGAACTCCACGTGGGAGCTGGAGACCTTCGACAGCAAGTCGTGGCCTTCGTCGTGGTCGGAAACGGACCAGACCAGAACCCAGTCGCCGAAAATCTGCAGGACGGAGAGTTAGGGTAAATCAAAGTCTGAGCTAACTGGAGTTTCTGTGGCGCCTTGGAAGYAAAATTTAAAATGTTGCTGGTGTCTGTGAAATCAAGCAATATGAGAACCTTTCTGTTCTGAACAAATAAAAATGTAAGTGTCGGGGTTCAGTACAACATGCAAGGAAAGAGGAAGTTTACCACAGACGGGTCGGCCAGAGATAAAGGTGTAACTGCAGGCCGGCATTCTTCAGATATCAGAATTGATGACTTGTGACAAAAGTCTGTTAAAAAGAGAAAAAAGAGAATCAAAGCGATTGTGCCAACAGACATTATTGTGGATTAACATCACCAACCTGCTTTTCCATTGTAGATAAATGGTTGGTTGTGAGGGAATCCCAAACACTCGGCCACTTTCCTGTGATCATCGTGGTGGGCTTTATGCTGCTCCACATCTGGATGTGACCCCTCCTTCTCTGATACACAAAAATCATACATGTTGCAAAACTGAGTTAAAGTTGAGTCACAATCACTCTGTTGTAAAGGCTGAACTAGTTTTTAATGTAACAGTGTGAGTGTTTTACTGTAGAAGAGCAGGTATTTGTGCGTCTGGGTCGTGTAGGTCATCAGCAGACAGTCGGAGCAGGTCTTATAAAAGTCCACGACTCCTGTGTCGTTGTACACAACAGGTGCTCCGTCCTTCTCTACTTCTAAAACACACAAAGAAGCATCACTTTAACTAAGATCAGTAACAATCCCTGATGGATAAAACCCTCCAGTCAGCTTTTTCATCATGATGGGTTTTATGTTGCTCCACATCGAGATGTGACCCCTCCCTCTCTGATGCACAAAATAATATCATTTGTTAGCAAAGCTGAGTTTAGTCAGGGTGTGGGAAACACTGAACCAGTTCCTTTCTCGTCCTGATAACCCAAAACACACAAACATTTTCAAACACAATAACAACCCTGTCTATAATGTGGTGTTTAAGAGAAAAAAGCAAAGCCTTGTGGGTATTTGGACAGGAGACTGTAATTATATGGGATCCTACAATAACAAACTACAGGTAGCTACTTGACAAATCCAGTAAATCTAAGAGGAAAGACCAGATAATCAGTACAGATTAACAAGTCCCTTCATACAGCCTTCTTAGTATATTCTTAGTATTTCATGTACCAGGTAAGTAAGTAAATAAGTACATTTTATTTGTATAGCATTTTTCACAGACAGATATCACAAAGTGCTTCAATAGGAGCAAAACTAAAATAAACACAAACAATATGAGATTAAAATCTTACAGGTTAATAAAACATTAACATAATTTCCAATTTTTTTTTACCTAATTTCCCTCTGGGATTAATAAAGTATTTTTGATTTGAATTGAATTAAGTAATACATAGAGTCAGCCTCACGACACATACAAGTAACTGGTTAGTATAAGGAAAGTATTTTGTATACTAAGTTGGTACTGTAAAGAAATATTCTGATTGGAAGCCCAAATAACACACAGAAAATTGATTAAATTGAATGTTATTTTCAGATCTAAAGACAAACGCAATACAAAAACTGTACAAATACAAATACTTTTAAAGTAAGGTCCTATTAATTAATTAATTAATTAATTAATTAATTAAAAGGACCCCATTGTTGACCCTAATTGTTGGACCCTATTTTAGCCCAGGGGTCCCATTTTGAACACCTAAATGACCATGACTGCTTAAAAAGTATAAGATAAAYGASTGTATCTAAAATTCCATTAATCAACCATAAAATATCCAACAGCACCTGATAAATATCAGGCTGTTTTACTGCGACCACCTGTGGTTGCCTCTTGTATTAGCAGCCTCTGTGTATCAAACACTAATCCAGTTTTAGCTACAAAATGTGGGTGAAAACATGACATTTTATAATTTTTCTGAGCAAGAAAAATCAAGCTCGTTAGTCGTTTTTTTTACTGAGACCCAGAGCAAGTCTTAGAAAAAAACAACAACAACCAGAGGCTGAAATTTAAAGCATATTTTTTTGTTTAGGGGGTTTCATCCTTTGTTTTTGCCTTTTATTTCTTGTTCTTGTGCTTCTACAATCATCATACAGGGACTATATGTCATTTTGATTAACACATTACTTTAAACCACTTGTGGCATAAATGTGACGGTCTGACTTACGGATGGAATCACATTTAATCGTGTGGTGTTCAGCATCATCTGAGGGCATCGTCATCTTGATAAAGTAGGATGTACACGAGTCATGCTTCCCATGTTCACTGAAAACAACAATCATCAGTCAGAAAACAAAACTTCAGATTCTCAGATACTTTCTGTCTACTACTTTTGGCTTTAACCTAAGAAAACGTCATGGCCACACCTCCGTCTGAGAACTCACACAAATTGGTTTCTCTCGATGTAATCGATAGTTTTGTTGTCATTGTCAAGTTTGAACTCCACATGGGAGCTGGCTAGCTTTCCCAGCAAGGCTTGACCCAATTCACGACCAGAGACGGACCAGACCAGAACCCAGTGGCCAAAAATCTGCTCGGCGGAAAAAGAAGACGAGTTCTGACCATATTCTGCATTGATTGGAGAATTTACTTTTAAAGTCGTAAGAGCTTGTGAAAATCAGCAAAATGAATCACAAATTCAAGCTAAAAGTCAGCTGATAAATTTATCTTCAATTTATAAACAGTAATGAACAGGTACCATAAACAACTCAAAGACTCAAAAGGAAGAAAAAATAAGAGTAGTGTGTACATTTTGACTAATACAAAATGGAAAATAGATTTTGTTCTGAATTGAATATAATATACAAATCTGATGCAAGGCAGAACCAGACTCACCTGATGCAGATCTGCTGTTGGCAGCCTTTGGGTCACGGGGGCGCATTCTTCAGCTGCCGGCGCTGCATCACAGCTGATGGCCGCCAGCAGCAGCAGCAGCACTGTTCCCTTRGCTAAACTCATAGTGCTATCAGATAAAAACACAAACACGCTGAGCTAGTTTCAACAGGACAGGAGCAAAAAAGGAAGGCAACTGCTTAGTATATATTGCCTCAGGTCCCCCTGATGGTCAGGGGTCAGTCCAAAGTAGAGAAGGGAATTATAGATCTACAGCGGGTAAAATAAGTATTGAACACGTCAACATTTTTCTCAGTAAATATATTACTAGAGGCGCTAATGATATGAAATTTTCATCAGATGTCGGTAACAACCCAAGTGATCCATACATACAAAGAAATCAAACCATAAATGTCCAGAAATTAAGTTATTTGTAATAATGTGGAATGGCACAGGGAAAAAGTATTGAACACACTTACTGAAATTTATCTAATACTTTGTACAAAAGCCTTTGTTGTCAATGACAGCTTCAAGACGCCTCCTGTAAGGAGAAACTAGTGAAACTACCAGGTAAACTAGTTTACCTGGTAG